CAAATGTTGCATTCAGCAAGTGGGATTAAGACAATGCATCTGCAATACAAAGCAAGAATCCGTTGGTACGCTGAGCACGCTGTACCTACATGAACATGTTTAATGGTAATTTGTTAGAGACCCAAACAATCTGTTGATATACAAATGCATTGTACGATGTCAGTTTTCTGCTCAGTGTGCCTGCAAATCTCCTGTTCGTGAATTTCCCACGTTCTGGAAAACGCCTTTGCGTCTACAGAGAAACCTGATGACATTTCCAGGATTGCCAGGTCACGGCATGCCCCCCCCAAAAAAAATCGGTCATAAGGTAGACCACATGTTCAATTCAAGCGTTTGCTTTCCTGCACTGCACACGTGCACTCATACAGTTTACACCCTGTACATGTACAGTAAATGACATCCGGGCACTTTCCAATAATGAGCACATGTCCATGTATGCACCTGTGAAGGGCCAATGTACGTGTACTCTACACATTTTCATAGTGACCCACATGGCGGTGTAAGACATGGAGCACTGCTTTCCAAAAAACACGAGTAAACCTACATCATTTCCCAGTACTGTAGCGATTTCTCTGATCCTTGCTTATCATCCTTAATTGCTCCAAATGATCTGCAATTCTGCCGGTAACTGAAAAACTCCTTGCACCGACCCAACAAAAGCTTAACAACTTTGTTTGTCCATGGCGACGGGCGTGATGGCCTCCTCCTGGTTCAACGCTTTAGGACCCGGCCAAAGAAAGCCAAAATCCTGGTTCCGTGTCATCACAGAAATTCTAACTACTGGTGTCTACAGGAGTTGATGGCAATTGGCGATTAACAGTTGTCAATGAATCTGTGGTGTTCAATGAGCAGGGATGGACTACTGTGGCACCCTGGAGCCAGTCTGAATGGTGGAGTTCCCAAACAGGGGGCACCGCTGGGCCAATTTGACAGGCCAGAAAAACCAACTACACTTAAAAGCTAACAAAAGCACAGGGCTGTGTTCAGCGTGGAATGTCTCCCCCCCCCACACACTGCTACTTGGGGTCTTCAAACCTAGAATCCAGTTATTGGTCTTAACAACGCAACTACTCATGTGACTCATAGTATCAGAAATCTGGGTTTGACCCACAAAATTTGTAACATATTTGGTTAAAAAAAGTAAACTTTCTCAGCTCTGTGCAGGCAGCTCAGAAACAGATACCTGCAAGATGAAAAAAATATGAAGGATATACCAATTTTATTGTTTTTCAGAATGGTGCACTTGTACTTTTTAAAAATTATTCTCCTTTTTGAAGCATTATTTATGTGAAAATCACCACTTCACACCACACTGCTGCTCTGAATGTCCAATCTAACGCTACCCTCAGTGATGAATGTCCAAATTGAAGTGCAATCAAATTGGAAGCATGCGTAAGCGTGAAAAGCCGCGATTCGTAATGTGCATGTAAGGACCTTCAGCATTATATTCAGGAGTTGATGGCCCGTGACTCAACTGTATACAGCATGGTGCCGTTACCTTTTCCCCATTATTCCAACCGTCCCATAAGGGACCAGACTTTCTGGCTTTTTTGAGCACTCTAGTTATATACCTACAAGTTAATTTGAATTTGTTTCCAATCAAGAGACTGGCAGTTGTGGGTTTGCCAAGGCTGGGCAGAAAAGTGCAGGTTGAAGGTCGTGACAGTTAGCAATAAGACATTTATTTTTATCATAAGGTTAGGATTACTCACAGTAGCCATGAAAAAAATGTATGTTTCATGCTGACAGAGTTGAACATGCCCATGAATTTCTGAATGAAATGTTTGTCTCTTTAAAATTACCTTAAAAATGCAATAATTGCCAGTAAGGAATGACAGAATATAGCACGTGATGTATAGGCCTTTAAGCAACCAAAGATTTTTAGGGTGGACATAAACTCTTCGAATTTATTTTTTCAACCAAACCTTGTTTTCATTGGCAGATTTTCTAACTGAGTTGATACAGAGATTGTGAATTTGGTTTGGCTTGAAAATATTGGAACCCTGGGCTCATTGATTTCAAAACAGCCACTCCACAACACACAGAGAAGTTGAGAACACTCTCATGCATGCACTGCACAGGAACGAATCCGTCAAACACTCATGTTCACATGTCCTACACGTGTGCTTCCTGAGGGTACCGCATAACATGTATGCCAGTACATGATCAAGTCTGGTCACAAGGGTATGCATTGTACATGTGCATGAACTGGTGAAAACGCAAGTGACAAATTACGGGCGGAAATTAGCTCTGACTTGTTTTTGTATGAACTCTTTCCTGTTTTTAAAGCTCTCCTTTTTTTCAGTGGAAAACCTGTGCATTGTGAAACATGCAGGAGTTCAGGTTTTTGGACTTGCGCCAAAGGCTGTGTTTTCATAAATGTCTTGCCCTTCATAGTGTCTGTCTGGCGTAAGGATCGTTCAACTGAATTAAAGGTAGTCTTTGTTCTACTTTCGAGGTGCTTTTGTCTGTAAAGTCATTGTTGTTTACATCTTAAAATGATGATTTTGAAGTGAAACAAGTTTGGCTTGGCACAGCATGACATGAAATTTCACAATGACACTGTACATGTAATGATCAAAGTCAACACATCTGCTGCACTTTCAAATATGAATGAACCACATGTCTCTCTCAAAAAATTGATTAATTGCTTTTTCGCTTGATGAATTGTCTCACTTCATAAAAGATGCACATTATATGCCAGTGCTAACACACTTACATGCACAATTTCACTCACTACAGTGTAAGCTGCTTCATTCTTTGCACTTACCTTCACGACGTTCAAATTTCCAATCAATTTGGTGTTTGCCATTTCAATTTCTTAATCTCATCTTGGCAGGCGTGCCAAGTACAATTTTGGGTGAAATTGTAAACATATCCTGTATGACTCGAACAGTCTCATGGCAGTTCAACCTTTACAAGGGGGATGTGTAATATTTGGGGGTAATATTTAGGAGGTAGGGAAAAGTCTTCGAATATTATGACGGCTAGAGTTTTGGAGGTAGATTGGCCACCCAGAAACTGGTATACACTAAATTGAATTTACTTTCTGAAAATCAACACGAGAGAAATAAGAGGCAACTTCTGTCCACAACCAACTGGGCCGCGATTTTGGAAACACGCAATGTCAAATTTTGTGGCACAACAGGCATGCATGACGTACGCATGAAGCTACCGTATTTGTCAGCTGGTATCGTTGCGGCCCAGATGCATTGAAACGAGGAGTTTTCATGATGTGCGGAAAATGTACAACATTATACATGTACATTAATCTCTAAGGTGCATGAATCTCAGATGCCATGAAGAGCAACGCGGTCAGACCTGAATCTTAGGCTGAATCGAGGTCTACCTTGTATAGTTATGTGTACATGTGAAGCGTCTAGTAGAGAAGACCCCAACCCATGCGCGTGCTTGTTTGCAGAGTCTACAATTTTCAATGAGTCAAAGAAAAAGAGATGAAAACATATGGGATTCTTCTTGTGAAAGTGAGTGGATTCAATTCCTATGCATGTATAATCTACTCGTCAATGAATGAGGGTGGCACGGAACCTGTCAGTGCTGCGGGGCTGCGGTGGTGGTCCCCAAAACAAACCTGTCCATGGTCCAGCAGCACAGCATCGTACACCGGCAGCTGCAACATAACACAAGCAGTCGGCGAGGCTTATGTGTCACTTTTCTAAATTCGGAGTGTTTTTGCAGAAACTACATTTTTGTCAAAGCAGTACTCCAAAAATTCATGGCACATTACTTATCTGCGACAACTGGAAAGGTAAAAAACCTTTAATGCGTTGTCCGGGAACGATCGACTCTACCTGTAATCACAAGGAAACCCTGAGACCAAGTCTCAACTTGCGAGACTCCTGTCCGAACGGCACAAGACCAGGGTTATGTTTTATTTTGTGACAAAAATACAACAAATCATGCACTTAAACTTGGTGTATGGAACAATCAATGTAGTGGACAAGAACCGCGCAAGAAGGTTGCATTTTGAACATGCCTCTACTATGGTACGAGACTTGTGTCTGAAGATGCACCGTGTTTACAGACGTATCTCCCTGTGACCATTTTGGGGTCACCGGCACATCATAAATACATAATGGAAGTTTCTAAAATCGACGAAAAAGGGACTTGTGAGAGCACATTTTTAAAAATATTTTTTCGATCATAAATAGGAAACTGTTCCATTTTTAGTGTTAATTTTGGAATATGGTCGTCACCTCTAGTTTAATGCAATTGGGGAAAGAAGATTTTCTTTTCCCTACACCTGTACCTCTTCAAGTATTTATTCATAAACATCAGAAATTACTTGTACGTCATCCATGTCTGTTCACAGAATATGTATTTGTTTGTACATGACCCTTAGGTGTCGTCTGCAGACAAGTGTCCCCTTCCTTGGTGACGAAGCTAGCCGTTACTGTCAAGTCCTGTTCAAATCAACCGACTGTAGCTAAGAGTAACACACACACATATACAGACAGTGGCTGCAGCCACTAGCCACTGATGGACATAGTGCAACCTATGTTTATGGCCACAGCCACAACTTTCAGTTTCAGACATGGCTTTCATACTTTTCCACCATTTGTCATTTACTTGGCTGTGGCTGACGATAACACACGAACCTACGGGAACTGGCTTTACCTGCAAGCCAGTGGGCTTCCACAGACAAACATATTGCTGCTAGCCACTACCAAATGATTTGGAACTCGGCTTAACCTAATACATTCTTCTTGTCACCTGGCTAAACAGCACTCTCTGCAGTGCATGCATTGAGCCAATAAGCACATGTACACTGTACATGTACACTAACATATTTAACGGTGCTCAAATTTAACATACACCTGTACACCTATGGGTAACTTATTAGTTGCTACAAAATCTCTGCTTATACTGGAAAAAATTCAGTTTCGGCATCACACCGGTGTTGTTACTGATGCTAAAATCCTATTTAATAATGATCTGACAACGATAAAAGTTACGGTGAATGGATCAGAAAAACTTACATATTGCTGCCACGCCCTGTACTGCCTCTGTCTGCTTAGAAACATCTCGGTGGGGATGCTCTCGATGATATGCACGCTGTGGTGTTTCTCCTGCTCGGCTTGGCGGGACCGGCTGGACCGCCGGTTGCGGTATTGGACCGAGCCGCGCAGGGACTGGGTCCGCCTGGCTGGCTGCCGGCCCGCCACACCGTTAGAACCCTGCAGATCCGACAGAGACTGCCCCATTGTTCAGAGGGTTGCAGTAAACGACCCCGACCAAAAAAAAAGGTATCGGTGTTCCAGAAAGTACAGGTTTATTATAGATATTCCAGGTTTCGGCAGGACTCTGCAGAGGTTAACTTACAGATTCATCCAGCTGCACAATCAGGTTTAGCTGCTGCGAGGTTTCCAAAACCCCCATATTGCTAGGGCTCATTCACATTTTGTGGCTTCCTGTCGCTGGAGAAGGGGATGGAAGAAAACTGTTTCCCTTCCTCAAATGATGAGTCACAATCAAGCCCCGAAGTACACACACACGTACTGTCATGACCTGCACATTGTTGCAGCCATGTGTGCGTCCAAAACTCCGTCAAAACATCAGGTCAAGTCCACCTTTCACTACATGTGGCAGAGAGCGACACTAACTTTTACATCTGAAGCTACGCAGCTCCCCTCAGGCATGAGCCCATGACGGATTTTTCATCGAACCTGAGCATAAATTTTGCAAAAATAGCCAACCGGCTAAAAAGACAACTCAGCAACAACCGCTGAACTCTAGGTCGAGGGATAAAATGATTCCTTCCAACTTGATTGCCGGCTTCCTCTTGGTTTCACACGGTGTAGGTCGGTCGGCTGCAAACAGCATTTTGCCCACACGTACACACAGCTGGGCGAAGCTTCCCCACCGAAATGGACATGTAACACGGGCAATATTATTTCCTGGAGAATGAGCATGCACGTACAGTTCAGGAACTTGCTACAAGTTTAAAGCTTTACAGATGCTGACAGATCCCTTTTATAGAAAAGGGGGCAAAATTAGTTATGCAAAAATAAAAGAGGATTTTTTGTCTAATTTTAGTGCTCACATGTTGTAATGTCAAAACATGGACCAAGAGTTTTAATGGTAATTGCAATTTCAACAGCCACACGCAGGGTGCGTCTGACCATATGATCTGACTCATTCACAAATTTGGCTTCATTTATACAAGTGGGGGATAAAATTAGCACAAATTTTATACTGTCTACAGATGAGAGATTCAGACCAGAGATGAAAAAGACAGCTGGTAATGCTATTAGTAAAAGAAGTCAGTCTGGAGGGCTATGACGATCAATGAAAGAGAGAAAAAAGCCTCTTACTTCATCCAATCTGGGTCTCAAACATTCAGTCTGATAAACCCCATCCACTGGAGGGTGAAATTTGGTTGAATTACAAACGTTTAAAATGCACACTTGAGTTTAAAAGAAAAAAGGGGATGCACTTTTCACCTACAACTCACGAACACTACTGTCCATTTAACAAATTCCCCAGTGACTGGGACCCTATTTATAAAAAGCCCTAGCCTTGCAACGCCTCATAAATTCCTGATTTTCATCCAATTTTGGTGCCAGCCTTCCATCTGTCCAGAGAAATTTCCCTTCTGTAAATCAGGTCTAAATGCATTACGGTATTTACAGACATACAAGATGAGCACTGTTCACAGCAGTTATGACCACAAAGAAATCCATAACCTCTGCCACAGCATACAGACACATGTACCTGCATTTTTCTTCAAAATTAGTCCCAAAACAGTAATCCACTACGGGGAAGATATCCCCACAAGCCCTTTTCAAATGGTCAAGTTGTGAGACACTTACAAAAAATCCCCTCAAATGAAACTTCTGACATCAGTTTCAACCGCAGAAATCCAATTCCATTCCAACAAGGGTCATCTGTTGAGGGGAGTAACTAATCCACCAGCAATCAAAAAAACCTAAGAGTTCAATGACTGACCTCTGGGGTTCTATAGCCTCCCCTTGGGTGTCAGATTCCCAAAGATGGGCATTTTAAGAAAAGCGATGATTTCCTCCCATTAACCACACCTCCTCCAGACAGCATTCCAGCCTGGCTCTGCCGATCTTTCAGTAGAGTCAGCTCCAGTGTGCTCGTTCGTGGTCTATCCTTTCCAGTGCGTTGAGATTTCAACACGTCGCACTCAGCACACAAGACTCGGCTCAGCACACGCTGCCCTGGTTTATTTATAGCAACAGTACAGTTTCATTTCTGCCAGAGGCTTCAGTTTTTCTCCCCGACTACAAGGGCATTCCTTTGTTCTCCAACGGCTTTGTTTCCAAGCGGGCGTCGCTGACATGCACACCAGCTATTCCGCCGAATCCGCCCGCGGGGCCAGGGCTCAATTAAAAAGTGCCAAAGGGCTAACACGGTTTATTTTTGGAAACGCCTGAATGGGAGGGAGTTCTCTGCTTGAACGCTCGAGAAATCCTCCGATTTTGCAGTCTGTAGGCTTCCCTCATTCTCGTCTGCTGTTCAACTGTAATGACTCCAAACCCGTCCTGTGTTGTATCGCTTGTTTTGGGACTAAAGGGGCACAGGGAAAATAACTTGAAACTCGGTTAAGCAAATAGAACTGTGAATGGGTCAGCCAGCAGGGAAAGTAAACAACGTTCCTTTAAATTTGTCACACGAGAATTGACTTCACAGGCAAATGCAAGACAAAGTCTCCAAACCAAACATATGGTAAATCCAGGCATAATCCTCTCTGAGATGGGCACAAAATAGTTCCACGTGTCAATGACATTCCACAGGTTGTGACCTTTTTTTGGCAACGTTTTAAACAAGTTGCAGCATTTGATTTGGGAGAGTGTGTCTTGCTGCCAGTTTAAGAATACTTCATATTTGGATATCGGTGGCTGAATTTAAGATTAATATCCGGAAGAATCCAAAATGTGTTCGTGCATGAATTTTTCACTATCTTCTCGTCAGCTCTCATGCATAGACAGAGCTTGCGCATCCAACATGGCCAGTCAAGAATGACTCAAAACTCCTGCAAAATTGTTACAGTTGCTTGGAGAATGTCCAGGTGGCAATATATTCCCTTTCCAAAGACAAATCTACGAAGGCCCATGAGTCAACTTCACAAATTTTCACAGCTGCTTGAGAAATATCTCCCTTCCTTTTCAGTTTGCAGACTGGATTTTTTTCACATCCAGGCTTCCCGATCGCCCAGCTGTGCATGTGTTGAACAGTACTAAAGCACTCCACTCCGAGAGACGGTAAAGTATAAACTTTCCAATCTTTTGTCTGCAGATCCTCGAGTGCCGTTGAAGTCCTCAAGAAAATCTTTACACAGGGCTCGGAGGAATGCAGAGACCAGCAAATGGGCAACGACTCCTGTACTCCAAAACATTCTCAGCAAACATGACTTCCACAAGGGTGCCCAGCCAGTGAGTGTTGTTTACTAACTGACATACAGCTGAAACTCTCTGCCCTCAAAAGCCAGGTCCCTGCGCTTGTGAGATTTAAGCGTATCAAGTACAAGCAACATGAAGTGTTCAGTTCTCAAGAAATCCGTGCCCGTTCAATCACAAGAGTACCCAGGTGCTCACATCTCAGACTGTCAGTCCACCGAAAGCTTTAACACTGCAGCGGGCCAATCTCCAACAAGGGATCCTATAATTATGGTCAAGGACTCAATAGTCCAAGTACCGCTTCATGCCCCTATAGGCTATACCCCATACCCGAGCTAATTCACTCTACACAAGGAAACCCATTCAGTGTCCCCCATGCTCCTTTGAACAGGTTTCTCTATTGTCGGCACACTCCACAAGGAACCACCCCACAGTGTACTTGTAGCTTAGATGGTTAACCTTAAAGGGCACGGCGTGATGATCAAAACACTTCACTGTAAGTAACCATGCACGGACATGCCACAGCCGGGACGCGGACCTTTAAAAGTAAACCTGCCTTCTCGTGCTCCTTCACAGTGACCTTGAATAACTCCAGTTCCTGGGAAGTCTAGAAAACTATAATATATACATGTACATACCATTGTCATCGATGAGTGACTCATTTTATGAAAGCCAGGCAGTTGTCCAAAAATGTTAATTTGTTCTTTTTGTTCGAGAAGCATTGGTCACAGATGGCACAGAATTCACAGAAACAAATGAACCTTACTGTTTAAGGCACTGTGGATTTTAGCTTTGAATTAAAAAAAAAACTGTTAGGCAAAGCAAAATATAATTCTCTTCAATCACACTTGAGTGCAATGCAGAATCACACACACGAACACAGTTTCATATCTGAGACACCAACGCCTATTAATACTGAGAACCGTGGAAGAAGGAATAACCCACATACATGTGCATGTACATTATCACAGAAACTGCTTAACTGCAGATAGTCCAAAGTTCCTTTGTGCCATTTTTGAAATTCCAGTGAGGGGCCCCTTTAACAAGGGCAATACATGTATTTAACATTTTGAGTCATTCACTGCACCATTAACTGCATGGGGGGCAGGGGGTCTGCACGCACCACTGAGACATCCTTTAAAGGGACATCTCAGTTCTCAGCAATGGTCTCTCAAGACCACTGAAACATGAGACAACCTACAGAGGAGATGCCAATTATAAAGTTAGATTGACAGTTCTTACTCAAGGCAGCCTAAGTAAACAACCAATTCACAAAGTGGGCACAAACAGTCAAACTATCAAAGACCTTCTTTTTGTTTTGCTCCCTTTTCACTTGCAACATTCCAGCACTGAAGGGCGAAGTAACGCTGACAGAGTGCAGCCCAGGTTAACTTAACCCTAATAGTCCTCAGTCCTCCAACAGGTGAAGGACTGAGGACTGTTAGGGTTAATAACCCAGTCTAGGCTTTGTCTCTCCAAGCCACTGCAAGACCGTTACCCCTCCATCACTTGGACACACCCCCATCGAGTGTAGCCGCATACAGCATACCCTCCACAGTTATTCCCAATGTCTATCACCAAATAAAAATAAGATTATCCCTTTTGGGGCTCCTCTCCTGTGGACTGGCCTCAAACAGCAAGACAAAAAAAAAGAAATCTCTGCTACAAATTGAGATCCAATTAGGCTGATCCCTGTGCAGGCCATTCCTGGCCCACCAGACAGAAACAAAATGCACTGAAAAATGAGTACATGCACACACCAGACATGAAAATTAGTGAGCGAGATACCATTTCAGCGCTTGACTGCTGTAGTAACCTGTACAAAACAGGTTTTCAACTTTTTTTCTTATTGAGACATCTCTCAGCAAGACAACCAACGTGCAACTTGATGTGAACCAACCCCACAGACAGGCCTACCCCTCATCACAAACAATGAAACATATTTAACATACATGCGGTTCGAAATGTAAACAAACTTCCCAACCAAAAATATGACTGATGACTACGACCACTTTCTATGGCGATATCCTCGACAGCAAAAAAAAAATTACAGATGAAATAACCTGTGGAATTCGACGATTACAATTTTCTCAACCCTTCACCGCAAAAAAAATCAACTCCACACTGCAGGCATTTTAGTGGATAGATCCCAAGACTCCATTGGTTGTCATAACTTCAAGTCGTCTGTATTCTTGCGAGACCCATTAATAAACATCCAGTGGCAAAGAAACATACAAATTGCATCTGTGGGGAAGCTGGTCCTTCATCATTTCCAAATGGCACAATTTGACGATCCTCGGGTGAGTTCCCACTAAGCCGAAACATAAACAGTTCAGAAAATTCGTTGAAAATGTCAGAACACACAGCAAGGTCTTGACAGACTGGCTTTGTGAAATTCGGTCAAGCAAGTGTGCAGGCCTAGACAGGACAACGTTCTCAATCTAACATGTCTGAGAGAGATTTCCTTCAATATTTCAGAGAAGCACCGTTGGCGAAAATTTCTGAATCCACAGCAAGGACAAGATAACAGTGTTGAAAATACAAACCCTAATGTACGAGTGAAATCCATGAGTGAGTTCCTTCACTGTTGAGCAATCGGAAGAGTCGGTGGTGAATTCCCGCAACGGCAACTGTTGGGAAATCCTTGACAAGTTGTGTGTACCCGAACAAATCACAAAGTGTCTGGTACAGTGACAAGTCTGACAGTGTGTACTAGGTTAACCTCCTGTGCGGCTCTCTGACGGTGATGCAGTGCACTGCGTTTAATGGGTCAGTGAGTGCAGGGGGGGGGGAATGATGCTGCCGGCAGGACCAATCTGCCAGGAAGAGAACAGGTGCATTGTGTGTGGGGGGGCGTAGGCTTGACAAATTGACACTCTGCAGAGATGGGGGTTGTTGAAAGTTGATGGGAGCGTGGCTGGCATATAAAAATGGGAGTACCTGTTAGAGAGGCCACCAGGACGGAAGAGGATGCTGGGCATAGGATGCACAGGGTAAACCCTGCCCCCCCCCTCCCCTTCACTTCCAGTTGTCAACTTTCAGGTCTGGAAAAGGCATGTGGGGGTCAAAGTTTAACTGGGGAGGGAGAAAAGTGGAGCATTGGAGGTAGGTGGAGGCGCAGTCAATGCTGAATACCACACCAATTCGTGGCCAGAATGGGACCACGGGCTGCAACAACCCCCCATGCCCCAAGTTGAATTAAGCTGTCAAGAGGAATGAGGCCAGAGCTGGGACTGAAATATCAGAGTTGGTGCAATCCACCAGTAATTTGGACTGAGGATCAGAGGCAGCATTTCAGTGCAAACTTATTTCCATGTTGCCTTCAACGAGTTACTAGTTTTGAGAACACGGCATCCCTAACTTTTCTTAGGACCTCTAATTCGTTCAACATAAAACTGAGCTCCTTCCCACATTTGAGTGGAAACCAGATGTCGATACCAACCAAATATGTTAGCCCTCTTCTTGCCTTCCTTCAGGAACGCTCTTTCCAGGAGCAGTCACACACCTCTGCAAAGCCGATAAGCATCTATTTGAAGATTACTGGCCATTTTAATCCCTGCTATGTGTAATCCTCTTACAGATTGTAAGCTTAGAGGGCTTCCCACCAAGAGATCGCTCTGGTTGCCCAGGGAAACAAGACATCCACGGATCTACCAGCAGCTCCTGTGGTATCGCTAATCACTGGTACTTCCCTGAAGAATTCTTCCAAACCAGAATCCCACTGGACCCCAGGGAGAAAAATGCTCCAGAGAATGATTGTGGTAATTCACACAAACGTCCTTCACACTGGCATGATCCTATGGGCACCAGGCAAACACACATTGGTAATCAGAAGTAATTAACTGGCCAATAACTGTCCAATTCCCTGCTCCAGATATGACAAGGCTCTGTTGTATTCCAAAGGATTAAATCCTCCTGAGATGAGACCCCCTGCCACAAGAGTCTCTAATGATCAAGAAGAGATCACTTTTTATCCTTTGTCGGACCTGTTGGTTCTATGGGGGCTGAAAGTAGGTATACTGTGGACAGGTGTTTTAGCCAGACAAAAGCAGTGTTTGTTGACCCATTGACAATAAAAAATGTTGAAGTGCTTGTAAACAGAAGCCTTATCAGTTAACAAAGTTGTCTGGATGCCCGAGAGCTGGATGCTGTAAGTGATATTTCCAAGCCTGGTCCATTTCCAAATTCTGATGGACTATTAATACACTGATGGAAGGAAGTGTAGATTACCAGGGGGGGGGAGGAAAGAAGACTTTTATGAATGGGGTGTGATGAGATGGAACTGGGCCAACTGCCGCATGAAAGCTTTGGATTTGACTGGCTGAACCTCAGATATACCTCTGTCCAGGTTTGCTTCTTATTCAAGGCAAATCTTTTACTCTCCGTTCCCTTTTTCTGACAGAAACTGAAAAAGTTTAGGGTAACACTGTGAGCAACAGTTCTTCTGAAGTTTTCTGCACACTTCCAAATCAATTTATTAACAAACGCATCTCTGGATCTTCGAAGCTCTTAGCCAAGAGCACTTGACTTAATTAATTTGGGAACTTAGAAAACTTTCTTTGAAGAGAAAAGCTTCTGTGGACAAGAGAGAACAAGAAAAACCGCTGGAATGTAACCACTAGCCACAGAGAAGTGCTGGCAAAACCCGACCAATGGAAAGAAAGCCAGTCCATAACAAAGCCAACGTAAGCCTTCATTGCTTTAACCATTCTCCTTCCTCCATGCTCTAATCCACAACTGTTCATGATTCGGTCCTCCATTGTAACACCTCACCTGAGCGAATGCCACATTTTTTTTCCCTTTTCTGGCACAGAAAGGAAGGGCTTCGATTATGAAATGGCTATTGAACAAAAGCATCTCTTCGAGCCAGCTACTCAGGAACAACCGATAAATGTTTGACATGTTTTTCCAAACATAAAACAACCACAAAAGTTCAGCCAACTCATTCCAACTCTTCAGAAGTTCTGCAAAGCCTAGGCATGCATGTCCCCCCTACAAGTAGTATTTCACCCTCGGGCGATCATAACAAATCTTTTTTTTCTCTTTCCCAGTGGCAACAATAAAAAGGTGTTCTGCTTTGCAGTAAATCCATGAATTGAATCTTTTACAATAAGAAATATTGCTGGCACCTGGGCAAAGCGCACACCTGCCTTGATGTGAAAAAGGAGAGCGTACATACATGTACGTGCGCAACAGAAGAAAATCAGTTCCAGGAGGCTAGCCTTTTGAAGACTGGTTAAGTTGCTCAAAGGTATACATAAAAATGAAGCACAGCAAACAGTTTATCTAGGATCCTTCGGTCTTTGAAATTAAAAGGTGTCAATTCAAACAAATCAGTCATGCAAAGTTCTCAGCTCATGCCCAGGAAGAGTTGGGTACAACCTCAAGCAAACTGAAAGTGAGGATCGTGTGCTTTTGGATGTGTTTCTGGAAACTTTGTTCGAGAG